GATTTCTAAAATGTTTTTCATTAAAACCGTTACTAAAATTGATATTGCTAACGGACGAAAAGTTTGAGAAAATATTGTTAGTGAACGAACGAACGAATGGCTACAAGAAAAATAGTTTTTGAACGATTTTTAATAACCATGAACGAACTTTTTTTTAAATACTGAAAGTGCCCAACCCAGGGGTTGTTGAAATAAAGAATTATGAATACCCCAATACTCTTTAGTCCGTTAAAAGGGCCACTCAAGGATTTCTTTGCGGAAAAAATGGTGGAAGTTTTTTAGAATTACAAAAAATAACTTATTAAACAATATATCTATATAATAAGACAAGCAGTTGCCTACCGTCCTCAGAAGAGAACGGATCTCTCTTATATCTGTCCTGGCTTTACAGTTTGGTGAAGTACTGCATTTAGTAACACATCTCGCATCCTGAAGGGTAAGCTAGGAATGTACATAGAATAAAACAAGACTTCATCTTCAGGCTGAACGCTGGTGTAACTAAAAGAAGGATTCTTATCCCTAATGGGTATACAAGCCATGCACAACAATACCAGTTTTATACTTGACCAGCTGTGAGGACTGGACTGCTATGGAAGATTCCTCTCAACGGGTTTTTAGGGCTTACAACTCCCCATTTTGCATAAGGGGTTTAGTTATGGGTTTCGATAATTCAGAAAGAGTATGATAAAAGGAACATGAGGAACAATCCCCTATACCCTTCCTCCTAAAAACCTCCTTATCTCCCTTACCTCTTACCTGGTCCACAATTGGATGTCAAAAAAACTATTTGGAGAGGCCTCAAAGTGTAGAAACACAAGAAAAAATAAGCAAGAAATAAAAAAAAAATTGAGCAGAAAAAAATGGAAGAAAAATCTCTTCACAATAGAGATTGGGGCTTGGAAGACGTCCTCCCCCCTGCCAGGTAGGAGGTGAGGCGATCGCTCTTCTCCCCTCCCCCTCCCTGCCCTCAGGAAAATATTAGAAAATTGTGTTTTTGCTTAATCAAACCGAACTCAAGAGTAAACATTTCTATATAGAGTTCAGGGAAAAGAAAGAAAGCAAGATCTTTAGCTACAGAGCATCCCATATCATATTAGATTATCTCCAAGTTTCAACGTCAAAATAAACCCTGAATACTCGAAAAACTTAGTATTTTCCACATGAAAATTCTTTAATTAGCCTTATTCAATTTTTCGAAATAATTCATTCTTCTTAAATTTTCTAATTTTTCCCCAAAATCGCAATATAGACCGATTGACGATCTAATGTGATGTGGGACACCCTGTATTTCAATTAAATACAGGGTTTAGAAAAAAGCAAGATCCTTCAAAAATAGTTCTTTCTTGTAAAGTGGCGAACTACAATGACATCAAAAAAATCTTTTCTTTTTATTTTCAAAATCAGCCGAATATGAGTGAAAGATGTACGAAAAAGAAAAAAATGGAGAACAAGAAATATAGAAATCTCAAAATGCTTACATTGATATCATATAAATATCTAAAAATATTGTAGATTTTAATTAAAATAGATTAGTTCAAAAATGCCTTAAAAACAAGACATGATCGTATATATGTTCCCTCTGGCCAGCCAAACAGCTGGACCAAATGAGCTGTTTTTAACACTTGTAGAAAATTTATCGTATATGTTTAATATTAATTAGAGGAAAACAAAAAATAAGATGATTCTTTTCTTAATAAAAACGAAGCTTCAAAACAAATTATTATGACTCTTTTCCTCAAGCTGAAATACAGGATTACCAACACAGGATGAGACTTTAATGATGACCAAAAATCTTCAAATATAATAATTAGAAGGTTTAATTTGGTATTTTGCACTACAAATAGTCTTTAAATGTACTTCGCAATGATTTGGCACTAAAAGAAACAAGTATCCAGGAGCTGGGACCCAGAACTGTGTGTAAATTCTGCAGAGTCGTCTCTGAAGTCTCATTCATTGTGGGTAACCCTGCACTACAGGGTGTTCCAGAGGCGCAACTAGGGGGGGGGCGGCCGGGCGCGCGCCCTCCCCTAGCACCTGAGTACAAAATAATATATTGCCCCCCCCTAGCAAAAGTCCTAGTTGCGCCTCTGGGGTGTTCCACATGGTATTGGAGTAAAAAAAAACTTGCAAGAAAACAATGTGTTTCTTTTAGCTTTCATTACGTATTTTGGTGTTTAATTAAACTTGCAGATAATTTAATAAGGCTATAGTCCTTCATTTCTGTAAATAGTGGATATGTTGAATATTCCTTTTTGATGATATATTTATATATTGTATATTATATATTGTAAGAGATTACTTCTTTTGTGATAATCTATTTCCTGTTAATGAGATATTTCCCCCTATTTTCTTCTATGATCAACAACATCGTTTTTTATACAGATTTAAGAGACGAAGGGGGGGGGGCATTCTATAATATGTTAGGTACTTTCCCAAAAAAAATTCCTGAGTGGCAACTTTCCAATGGTGTTTTCCCATGTGGCAACTTCCCCAATGGTATTTTCCCAAGTAGCAGCTTCCCAAGTAGCAGCTTCCCAAATGCGCAATTTCACAAGCGACAACTTCCCCAGTCCATTCCAGCCGCAGAGGTCGGCCCCCGGCCTGTTCTAGCCGCGGCGCTTGGTCCCCTATCCCATCCTAGCCGCTGCATTTGGCCCCCATTGCAGCATGCTGCGGATAATAGTACCTAACCTAACCTTTGGGAAGAGTTGCCGTTTGGGAAATTGCACATTTAGGAAGTTGCCACTTGGGAAATTGTCACTTTGGATGTCGCCCTTGGGAAAATGCCTTTGGGAAAGTATCTAACACTGTTTGTGCGTATCATTACCGAAAGATTACACTTAAATTAAATAAAGACATTTATTGGAGGGAATCAAGTGACTCTTCTCTCCCCATTTAATAATGTTGTCTATCCGATTTACGAAGGTACCCTCTTAACCTTTATTTCCCGATCTTAAAAAGTGCTAAATTGTTTAGTTTTTTTTTTAGAGTAAAATTCTGCCATAAACCTTCATTCATGTTTTAAGTTTTTTGAAATTAGAATTGTCGATATTGAGAGCAATGCTTAATCTGCTCTTTATATTAATCTCAAAAATAATTTAATCCTTATTTGTATCCAGGGAATATCTAGAAAAGTGAATAAAAATTCAACCAATATAGATGCAGAATCCCTAACATCCAATCAGAAGCCGGGAAATTTGAAACTGTTCACATTGGATATTCAGATCAGGGGAAGGGTATCCAATTCTAAAGTTCCCAGTTAGGTGACAAATTTTAAATCATCTTTTATATAGATATAATTATGAAGCTCTTTCGTAATTGGGGTCTGATATGACGGTGCTTTATCTTTCTGTGACTTTAAAGAAATAAATAAGTGTTAAACTAAAAACAACAAATAATTTAAGAACTTTTATCAAAACATTGTTTTCTGAGGGTTAAAGGAAAATTTAATGTTTATGATAAACTAACTCCTAAAGGGACCGTAAGCAGCATTTAAAAAGGAACATCCCAGATTCACAACAGTACCCTTGAAACCTTGGACTGATCAAAGAATATATTAATATTAACTTTCTAGAAGTGGTAGAATATAAATATTCACATTCAAATTATTATAAACCGCGTTCACACAGTGCGCTAACATACACTCCAATTTTACGACTTTTCAATATTTAGCTTAACAAAATGTTGTTAGAAATTACAAATAGAATATTAGGTATAATACTTTTATATATAATTTCAAGAATATGTACGAAATATGCACAATTGGGACTTCAAAAGTTCAAATGTTCTTTAGCATAATAATTGTATTATAAGGGTAGTTTTCATTTTAATTAAAAACTTTGCAAATAAATAATATTATAATTTTGGTTAAATCCCTTTTATAAATATAATATATAAACGTACGCCTAAACTGCAAAGCTTGCTTTTAAACTTTATCCAACAAAACTTTGAATTTTTATTAATATTAAAATTTCCTTTAAATTCTTTAAAAGTTTGAAAAAAGAATTGCATTGAAAGATTATAGTTTAAAAGTAAATCCTGACTGATCCCGTTTAAGAAAAACTTGTGCAAAATAGTCAATTTTAAATCAGGGAGGTCA